GTCATGTACATCTGCTCGTGCTCACCTGGTCATGTACATATAGTCGTGTTCACTGGGTCATGTACATCTGCTCGTGCTCACCTGGTCATGTACATATAGTCGTGTTCACTTGGTCATGTACATATGGTCGTGTTCATTTGGTCATGTACACCTAGTCGTCCTCACCTGGTCATGTACATATAGTCGTGTTCACTTGGTCATGTACATCTGGTGGTGCTCACTTGGTCATGTACATCTGGTCATGTACACTTGGTTGTGCTCATCTAGTCATGTTTCTTTAATCGTCTACGTCCAAATGGTCGTACATTTTACATAATACTAGAAAATTCAAGCTACAAAATAAGAGGCCAGTGTTTACTACAAATTTTATAAACTAACTAAAAGTGAAACGTATTAACAGAAGTGTAACTGAAACCTTCTAAAAAAATGATAAACTATTTATAGAAACCAAATTACACACACAACCAAAGTTACAACCCTAAAGTAAATAGTACTAGCCGCGAAACATTTCTGATCTACTAAACAGAATCGAAATAAAATGGTAAAGTTAATGATTATTTAGAAAAAAAACTATTAAAATACAGGGGGCAACTATAAATTAATGGTAGCAAAAATATTATGTTCTTTCATATACTCTCGCAAAGCTACACAATGGCTGTCTGTCCCTAATTGTGAACTAATAAACTAAAGAGAAAGCAGCTAGTAAACAGCTTCCACCACCATCTAATCGAAGAATGATCTGACCATCACTCTTATAACGCACCCACAGCTCCAAAGCGCGATTTTGATGCAAATGGAAACGAACCAATTACCCTTGGGTTCACATTGTCAAGGTACACTAACCACTAAGCCCCATCCACCCCCCCCCCCAAAAAAGAAACTTATGAAAGAAATGGATAATGTAAGTAAGAAAAAAAAACTGTTATAATATAGAATAATTTGGAAAGAAGAATAAAAAGTAAAGGTATCCTTAGATGAGAAATAATTGCAGTTATTTCTACTCTAAAATAACGGTTTAAACAATCAAACAAAAACAAACATTTAATTTATGGATCTACCTCGGTGTTAACTAATTATTCAAACTAGATTACCAAAACTCATGCATGACCTCAAAGTTTTTGAAATTAATTCTATTAGGCTTAAGCTTTGAACAGCCTTAATTAAAGAACAAATCAAAAAAAAATTATTTTGTTGATTCCAACCAGATTTTCAGGTTGTTGTTAACACGAGACTGTCTGGTGAAATGTAAAGTTCATGGGAGAACGATTTTAAAACACGTGGTTTGTAAATCAATGCTTTCTTTACACCCCCCCCCCTTATAACTGTGCTCTAAAACTACCCTTAAACATTTAGTTTGCTTTCAAGTATTTTACTTTCTCGACATCAGACCCTTAAGAACATTAATGCTTGTTTGAACGCCTTGATAGGAGAAGTTGTCCTCATTTTGATTTATTATCGTAATTGTTTTAAAAGAAAAAACATAAACTGTGAATCAATTCACGGTAGAAAAGCGTATCTTTGGGCTATACATTGTTAAACAAAGAACATTATATTGTTAACACGCTGTAATTAACGCTTTATTATAAGTAGCAATTAATTTATAATAAAAGTATGTTTTATCAAAAACGACTACAACTTTTAAATCATATTTTTTGTATTTGTTTAAGGCTTCCTTACAGAATACAATATTTATTTCTCTCTAATTATATACTTTAGGCAAAAAAAGGTTTCTTAGTATTCTAAGCAGAAGACTGACGTAATATCATCAAAATTGAATCACATCTACACATATATACTTATAAATTCTTTAAGACCACTAGATTACACAAACCCGTACAGAAAACAGGAGTAAATCTACGTATTAATAAAATGTATATTCTCAAAGTCTAAAATCTAATCTGAGCCCACGTCGCACAACAATATGTAGTTTAATTCTTCTTTCTTTCCTTCTCTCTCTCTCTCTTGTTAGTTCTATACAGATTTGATGTTTTGTAAATCTTTTTTTGGTGTGGTTTTTGGATCTCCTTGACATACCATGGTTAACACAGTAGATACTGTTAATATTTACAAGTCAGACTACCACATTTTTCCACTCTCCGTCCTCGAGCCCTAACTCATTTGAGTGCTAATGTTTAGACCTCCTGGTCTCGGGATCGAACCCGGGACTTTCCGCACGTCCATCAGGTACCCTACTAACTGAGCTAAAGTAAATGTCTTTAATCTTTGATAACATTAATACAGAGACGGGCATGGCTGAGTGATCAATAAGCCAGGTTGTGGATTTGAGGGTCCATGGTTCGCATTCCATTGGCGTTATAAGAGTAAAGTCAAATCCTACAATTCGATTATAATAGTCCAAGAATTTGCGATGGGTATTGTTGACTAGCTGTCTTCCCACTAGTTCAGGGATGGCTAAACAATAGACGTTGATAATGACATTAAACACTTACCTCAAACACTGTAACAGTAGCCCAAAGAAAGCTGTTAAAATTCTTCCGATCACACACACACGAAACAGAGGAGTTTTGTAACTCGACGCACGTGCACGGCCCTCTTCCGTCCGCTCGCTCACAAAACTTTCCTCCAAACAAGTGCATGCCCAAGCAGCTGGAAATCAGAGAATTTATAGACGCATATTCTACACACAGAGAGACTTTATAGACGTACACTCTACACACACAGAGAGACTTTATAGACGCATATTCTACACACAGAGAGACTTTATAGACGTACACTCTACACACAGAGACACTTTATAGACACATATTCTACACACAGAGAGACTTTATAGACGTACACTCTACACACATAGAGACTTTATAGACGCATATTCTACACACAGAGAGACTTTATAGACGTACACTCTACACACAGAGAGACTTTATAGACGCATATTCTACACACAGAGAGACTTTATAGACGTACACTCTACACACAGAGAGACTTTATAGACGCATATTCTACACACAGAGAGACTTTATAGACGTA